GAACCACTAGCCAGGAAGATGACGACTTTGCTCAGCAGTTTGGGACTGAGTTCCATCGTCCTGTATGTGATCCGGGTATTTACTCTACGTATTCCCCTGCGTATGCTAATATTTCCTAGAGGCTGGGTAAGGTCTCTGGTCACAAGGCATGTGCCCCTGGAACCTAAGCTCTTTATAATATACTAGTATATGCAGCCAAATCTCCCCACTACCCTCTAGCCACCTACCCCACCGTCTGCCCCCAAGCGCAAGCGTGCTCCACCGAAGAAGGGTCACAAGGGTAAGTATAGCACATCCCCCTTATACTAAACATCTGCTGAGAACTTGTAGCCACCGGTAGCCGGAAGCAGCCGGCGCGCGCAAGAAGATGCTGCCGAGTCGTGCCGGAGACTGCGTAGGGCATATGCACGGTTGGTTTTAGAGATAAATTATGGAGTCTAGGAATAAGTAGAGCAAATACTAGTCTAGCCATCGTTTAGGGAATTGAAATGGCTTTTTTAACATACTATACATCTACTAGGTGTATGCTCTGCACTTGCAGGGGTTTCCCTTTTTCTTTCTTTCCCCCTCTACCTCTTCCTCAAGCTCCTCAATTCGCTCAACCATATCTCTTCGTCGCTTAAGTCCCTCAAGCTCCTTTAAACGCTCTTCTAAAGGGTCTATGTTTGGCATATACACAGCGGGTGATCTAACAGGGGTCTCGATAACGCTATCTTCACCAACACTCTGTACAGTGTTAAGTGGGTGTGTTCGTTGACTTGCAGGTACATACCCGGCATAAGACGGGCATGTGTTAAGGCTAGATACTGATAGGGAATCAGTGTCCTGCATGGCCACTCCGTCTGTATTTTGAAGAGGTGTATCATATGGATTCCCTGGATTCCATGGCAAGTGTGGCTTCTTCTGCCGGCGGTTCGCTGCCTTTTTTTGCTGTTGATCTATGCATAGTATTAGCCTGGTATGTAAACAGCATATACACTGTTCATGTTGAACCATAGGGGCAATAGGGACAATAGGGGCAATAGGGGCAATAGGGACAATAGGGACAATAATAGGACAATAGGGACAATAGGGACAATAGGGACAATAGGGACAATAGGGACAATAGGGACAATAGGGACAATAGGGACAATAGGGACAGTAGGGACAATAAGGGCAATAGGGATAATATAGTAATTAGCTAGAGAAATTAAACAGGCTCCAGCCCTTTAGTTTAACATACTTTGCTTTCGAATAATCTTAGTGCGCCTTTGAACGTTCGTTTGGATTTTCCATGAAGGTGGAATACCCTCCTTAATCTGTATCTTATTCTGAGTAAAGGCCTCAAATGTAAACCTTCGCAATCTAAGTATATAGTTAGTATATTATTAACTATGCTCCGCATCTACCTTGGATATACTTTACTTTAAAACAGCTGCCAGGAGTGACTGCTTCCGGCCAACACCTTGATTATCTTGAAAATGACTACTTTCACTAATTCCGGTATGTTTCCGAGCATATGTCCAGTGTTCAATCTGTATCTTTGATTGTTCCGGGGTCAGTGCACTTAAGATCCACGGCCGTTTCTTTCCCTCTAGCCAGGATTTAGTCTCAGGATATGTATTGCATATGTAGTCCATACGCTCAAGCAAATCAGGTTTGGACGGTGCTTCTAAAAGGCTGTTAAGTAGGTGCTCTGCAGGGTGGTCCTTATACTTTAAGCGAAAATTACGCTTTAAGTGAGTTTGGCAGAATATAATCACATAGGGAAGGTGCTCAGACCACTCTCGGGATGTGTCTAGCGTATGCAAATAATCTCCAAGACCTAATATACTTAACAGGGTGCAAATACCGGGCATATATTCTGTTTATTACATACCTGGTGCTTGCTTCTTACACATATCGATAGTTATAGTCCAGATCTCATTCTCACCATGTTGAATATGGGGAAACCGTATAGGTGAGCGAGCCACATTTCCAAGTATCTTAAATAGCTTTGAGAACATTACAGCATATGCATCGCGTGTTTCGAGATTAAGAAAAGCATATGCAAAGGTATTGATTCCTAGTAACTTGCAAGTTAGTGAGCAATATTAAAAAATATACTAGATACATACTTCGCACATATGGATTCCACCCAGAAATTGAGAAGACATTCGTCTTGCCATTAACCATTTTGAATGAGAGGTCCATCTCAATATGCTTGATATTAATAAACGCCTTCGCCTGAGCATATGTACAGCATATAATAAGAAAATGCCGTGGATCAAAGAAATGGACATCACGTATCCATTGCTGGTCGTCCTCTTTTAATTGGTCGAAGGCGTATTCACGTAATACCCCTAGTATCAGCTGAGCATATACCTAAAAGCAGTAGCTATTGTCATACCAGCAATATCAGTTCCTTCAGGATAAGTTAAGAGTCTCTGTTTTCGGATCAAAGCTTGAACCCTATCTTGAATATTAAGACTTTGATGTAATACACGTAGTGTTGAGGGACCAAATCGATCATATATATCAGTGAACTGTGGAGAGATCATGAACCGTCCTAAATAGAGTAGATACTTAGTATATGCTGTATATATAGAGTAAATATACTTACTTGCAGTTAGGTCAAGGATATTATGCTGGGAGATCATTTGGACCACCTCATCTGCAATATCTTTAGGTAATCGTGTTGGAGGTGGTGGAAAATGAATATGATTTAATCGACAAATCAAAATTAAGAAAGGAAACCGTTGCCAGGATGTTGGAATGTACAAGTCAAATTTAACCTTACACTTTGGAATGTAAAGCCTGCCGGTATGGTGAGTATGTGCTCGAGCTAGATTAATCCTATACTTAGCATATATATATATATATATAAAACTAGAAATATACTTACTACACCATCTTCTTCGGGATGTTGGCTGAGCAATGAAATCACATTCTTCTATTTTTGGGCCTGTTCCATGTTCCATAAGAACTTGAAGATAAGTCTTATCAATCTGAGCAAATCGTCGAACTGGATGAGCATAATGCCAAGGTTCAATATCTGAATTCTTGGGGCAACCAAGAAAATGATTCTGGGTTAATTAGTATATACTTAATATATGCAGTATATGTACCTAAAGCATACCTAATTTCGATAAAACATTACCGGTGGTGTTTCACCACATGTCTTGATACCTTGATATTCACAAGGACCTCCATCCTGCCACCAACATTTCATAAAAGCATAGAAGACATCTTCAGTTTCTTTTTTTGATTAGTTGATCAATTGCTTGAGGATAAAAGGGTTCGGCGTAACGTAAGCGCTGTTCATTAAGTAAATCAAGATTAACCCGGTCATATGCCCGTGATATACTTAGCATATGATCATAGACCCGCGCTCACAGGCCTTTACCGAACCACATATATAAGATCTATGCCAAGCCTTGTGTTGTCCGTTATCATCAAGCTTGTTTAGAAGATCCATTTTGACGAGCTTTGCAGCCCCTGTATGGTTTTTTGCAAACTGAATCTATTTAAAGTATTAGTATAGTATAGAACAGATATATACTCTACATACCTTTGACATAAGCCGTGTAAAAATATTATTTATTTCTTCCTCAGAGAAATCATTTGGATTCCTTGAGGATGGAAATGGATTGCAGTCATGAATAAAATGAAGAATACCTTCTGCTGCTGTTGCTGGATATTCAGGTATTAAAAGATGTTCTTGAATCTCTTTAACCTTAATCTTATGACTGGCATTTCGCGCAACGACAACACCATCTGAAGTAGCTGCTTCCTAACATAGACTTAGTATATATTATGTATATATTAGATATACACTAACCCGCTGTAGGCCCATTACTATTGGTGTAAAAGATTCTTGTTCCTGTATATCATCTCCTGGATCTGACGGAGTAGACCTAGTACTAATTATACTACTAGAATCATCTCTATGAGATTCCTGCACCTCGTTCTGATAATTGGGTATATTAGTATAGGGTTTGTATATACCCAGTATATAATAAACATATATACACATACCTGGATTGGGATATTGTTGATCCATTCTACCACTCTTTCCCGAACTTCGGTACCAGCCATTGTTGTGGTTTGGTCAACCTATACAGAGTATATGCAGAGTGGATACTCTGTATTGTGTAGTACAAAATATCCTTAGGGCTACACCTTACCAATTATAGTAATTAAGCCCTAGTGCATATGCTCAGCGTGGTCTAAAAATCTTTTGAAAATCTCATCGTGGCCTAAGAATACTGACTAATCATTTAGACCATGATGAGTTTATTCTTGGCATAAGCTCAGCGTGGTCTAAAAAAGAGCGGTGAGTCTCGGGGCAGAATTTTAGCCCACGCCGAGGTTTTTAGACCACGCCGAGCTAACAAGCCCCCTATTCCACAAGCCGGGTTCCAGCTGAGCGAGACCCAAAATTAGCTCACCGGGACCCAGCCGGCTCGGGGCTATTATAATTCCGTTCTGAGTCCCGCTCAGAACCTGAAGCTGAATGGGACCCAAAATATTTTGGGTCCCATTCAGCCTAACACGTTGACGTTTTTGGCTTAGCGCCAGTTCCCCGGTCGGAGCATATACTGAGCATATGCTCCAAACATCCACCTGCGTGAGATCATTCAGTGAATCAATATATTCACCATATCATTAAACAGAGACATATTTTGCAACATATTGTGAATGATCCTACATCCTAATCGGGTAATTAAAATGTTGGCCATGTTTGCATTCATTTTCAAGCTAATAGATGAAATTTTTTTTATTCTTTCTCTCTCTCTTCTTCTTCTCTCTTCAAAGCCCCCTTCTTCAGTAAGTATTCTAAACCCCCTTCTGGTATATGATAAGCATATGCCCGACCAAAAGACCTAAAAAATCTTTTCCTTACTCCCCTATTCTTTTCTGCATGCCTAGAGTATATGCAACCATTCCGTGGCTTAATTTCTCTTTTTATTGTATAATATCAGCATATGCTGACGATTTCAGCTCCTATCCCTGCCTTGTTCTCAGTGTATACTGTCAACATGCAGAGATCCCAGCTTTCCTGTGAAGACTTTAACAATCCAGAGGTGGCTGGGGCGGTGAACCCCCACCCCGACTATGGTTACTTTCATGGTGAGTATCTACTTAGTATACAGGCAGCATGTGCTAAACATATACAGGCCCCATCCTGAACCCCAACCCCGTCTGGCGCCCCCACCACGACCCCCGCACCCCCGTGACCACAGCAGACAACGAGGGTATGGGATCCATGGCTTATGCACAGCATATGCTAAGTGATTTACAGATGCTCCAATTCCTGGTTCGAAACTGTCTAGTATTAATAGCATGGTGTAAGTAATTCACACGTGTGGCACATGCTTAGAATAGGCTTAACAACCTTACAGCTGCGACATCGCAGTCAACGGCAACCAGATGTGTGGCCAGCCTTTCGGTTCTTAGATTGCAGCAGGTTCCCTTTTTCAGCAAATATTTAGCATATGCTAATTAATTCACAGCTCCACCGCCACATCCGGAACACCCATCCCGGTGCCAGTATGTCCATTCCGTGCATATGTCGAGCATATGCTAATAATACCAGCTCTCAACCCTTCGCGCACCAATATCCCCCAGGCCGAGCGCATTGCGGGTGAAAAGTTAGTGTATATGTGGCATATCACAGGCTATTCTAACAATCCACAGCGCTCTAAAGCGATGGGTCCTTAACAGAGGATAGAAAACTGCCTGTTATATCAAGGAGCCTGGGTATGTCCTTCGCATATATATATATATATATATTGGGTATAGGGCTAAAATATGGTAGTGAGGGTCCTATGCACGGTATTATCCAGGATTACTGTAACTTCCTCAAGCAGCTGGCGTGAGTAGAATATATCTTTTGTACGTGCGGAATATACTAAGAACCAATAGCCAGGAGGATAATGACTTTGCCGAGCAGTTTGGAACTGAGTTCCACTGTCCTGTATATGATACAGGGTATTTACTCTATATATCTCCTGCATATGCTAACATTTCCTAGAAGCCGGGTAGGGTCTCTGGTCCCAAGGCAAGTTGTCCTCCTAAACCCTTTACCATATTCTAAGCATATGCAGCGAAAAACCCCTCCATCGCCCTCTGACAACCCTACCGCCTCGCCCGCACCCAAGCGCAAACGTGCTGCCCCTAAGAAGGGTCCCAAGGGTAAGTCTGGTACCTCCCCCAATATGCCGAGAATATGCTGAGAATTAGTAGCTGTTGGTAGCAGGAAGCAGCCAGCACGCGGCAAGAAGTCTGCTGCGAAGTTAGTGCCCACGACTGCGTAGAGCATAGGCTGCATCTGCAGGATAGTTTTAGGGATGAATTATAGATGTTTGAATAAAGTCTAGGAACAGGCACAGCGTATGCGTGGCTTAGCCGTCTTTAAATATTTTTTAGCTAAGGAATTAAAATAGCTTTTTTTAACATACTGTATATCTACTAGATGTATGCTCTGTATATGCTAGAGTTCCCTTTTTCTTTTTTCTCCGCCTCTACCTCTTTCTTAAGCTCTTCAATTCGCTCAGCCATATTGTCAGGGGCTGAACCAGTAGAACCTATAGGATAGGTTATATCCAAAGAGGAATAGTTGAAAAAGGGAAGAAAGGAAGAGGAAAATAAGCGGTAAATAAATAAGGTAAAAAGTAATGTGATATGGGTTAAGGGCTAATGGGGCCAAAAGGGACAATAGGGACAATAGGGACAATAGGGATAATAGGGACAATAGGGACAACAGGGACAACGGGGACAACAGGGATAATAGGGATAATAGGAATATTGGCCTGAGAGGCCAAACGGGCTCCATCCCTTTATATTCCTTATTAGTATCTAGCCTCAACACATTCTCCTCTTATGCTGGGCATGTGCCCGCAAGACCATACACGCACCTACCCAGTACTGTACAGAGTGTTGGTGAGGATAGTATAATCAAAACACGGTCAGACTACCTTCTGTGCATATGCCAAGCATAGGCTATTTAAAAGAGCATTTAATCGAGCTTGAGGGACTTAAGCGAAGAAGGGATATGTGTAAACGGCTGGAGCCCGTTTAACCTCTTGGGCCAATGTCCCTATTGTCCCCGTTGTCCCCGTTGTCCCCGTTGTCCCCGTTGTCCCCGTTGTCCCCGTTGTCCCTATTGTCCCTATTGTCCCTATTGTCCCCGTTGTCCCCGTTGTCCCTGTTGTCCCTGTTGTCCCCGTTGTCCCCGTTGTCCCTATTGTCCCTTTTGGCCCCATTGGCCCTCAACCCATATCACATTACTTTTTACCTTATTTGTTTACCTAAGGTGCGAGCATGTTTGCCCTATTTCTTAACACAATCATTTAATATGTTCAGCATATGTTAACGGTCTCCATTAAGTAAAATTAACTCCTAACTCTTAAGACTGCATACTGCGAAGTAGTTCTTCCTTTTTCTTTTAAAGGGCCTGAATCCTTTGTTTTCGCTCAAGTTCTGCAATTTCTAGCTGTAATCGTGCCTCTTTATTAAATGGATCCTGACTACTATAAAATTACTAAGATATACTATCCTGTGGCGCTAATCCAGACAATTCAGTAAGAACTAAATTATCTCTCTGTCGAGGTATACTAGATTGTGCTCCAGGTATAGTTTAATTATATACCAAGCTTATATCGGTTACCTCTGAAGTAGCCACTGAAACAGAATCAGGGGTCTCCGGAAGCTCAGGTGGTTGCATTACTGGGTCAAGTGTATCATAGGGGTTGCCTGGATTCCAGGGGAGGTGAGGCTTTTAAATTCGACGATTTGCAGAATAATGGTGACATTTATCTAATATAGACTTAGCATATGTTTAACATATGTTCTATAAAAATATTTACCCTTTTTTCGATATTGTTTTGCAATCCGATAAATAGGGTTATAAGACCGCCAAGTAGGGTAGATACCCTCTTATACTGCGAGTTCATTCTTCTTTTACATATCTTAAGTATGTCTTTTACATCTAGAAAGCATATGTTAGCTGTATATGTATAATATATTAGAGAATATACCGAAGAATTGCAGTTAATAATGCCTGCTTTCGACCAACCGCCTTATTATCCTGAAAATGGCTGCTTTCGCTAATTCCAGTATGATGTGGAGCATTAGTCCACTATTTAATAGGAATTTTTAAAGCCTCAGAGGTTATCCCAGCAAGTATCCAATCAACCTTCTTATTTTAAAACCACTTTTGGGTCTCTGGCCATTTTTTTATAATATTATCTATAATTTGGATTACTTCTGCCCTTGAATTTGCATTCCAAATTAAATTAATAGACGCAGTAGCTTCATGGTCAGGAAACCTTTTCCGAAATGCCTGCTTAACATATGTCTGGCATAGAATTAACACATGTTGTAAATACTCTGACCATGTCCAGCAAGGATCTAGGCCAGCAAGGTAGTCTCCGAGCCCTAAAGATAAAAAATATTATTAGTATAGCATTAACATATGTTTAGCTTATTATCTACATACTAGGTGCTTGCTTCTTACACATGTCTATAATAATAGTACGAATACCATCACACGAATTGTCACCACCATGCTAATATGCCTATCAAACAGGCTTCCGCCAAAATAGAACAACTACGCACCCTCCAACCCAACCCCCACATTTGGGGGTATTGGGTACTGATTCATACATCGTTTTATAGCCCTTTTCAAGCTTAGTCACTTCTCCACTTTTCTTGATACAACAGTCCAATCACGTTCCATGTTTTGATGAAAAAGACTGCGGGTTTCGTGTGAAAATTTTTTTTTCGTGTTCCCGCGCTCCCGAGCTCGGGCTGCCTGGAACCACCAACAACGCAGCTCCCGCGTTCTGCCTCCCGCCACCGCCACCTCCCGCAGAAGCCCCCAACACCAACCCCCAACACCGCAACGCTCGAACGGTCCCTGCGGAACACCCTACCTAGGAAAGGAAAGCTCTATAAGTCTACACTTATATCTACTCCCGCGCCTACTAGGGGGTTTAAAGAACTCCTAGATAAGCCTCTAACTGTTACATGTGATTGAAATTTTGAATCCTTGTGATACTTTTGGGCCGCTACTAGTTATAGTTCTCTAGGCCTCTATAACACCATCACTGTCCTGGAGAGGGATAAGAGGTGGGGACCTAGCTGCCCTGCATACCACAGCAGTTATTTTAGCCGGGTATTCTGCAAAAACAATAAAAACCGTGCTTTTAGTTTACCACTTCTCTTTAAAAAGGGGTGAGATTTTTTCCTGCGTTTTACTCCACCAAAAACAGGAAGCTTGGACTGCCCTGTAGAATTCACTAGTAGAAAGCCTAAGCTTACTTGCAAGAAGAAACTGTGAGCTGTATCCCCAGTACTACGGCTCCTAGCAATATCTTTCTAAAGCTGTTTAGCTTAGATAGGTATAGGAAAACTAGTGCTGGACCAGAGACATAGGGAACAGTGGAGTCGAGCTAGTACGCTTACGCTGGTTTTTCGAAGCTTCCCTTTAAAAAGCTTTTGTGGTTTAGAGATTCCCTTTAAAATCTTTTTACTTACTAGCTAAATCCCTAGCTAGTAAAGTTTTAGGATCCTACCTGGTTTACTTTTCACCTGTTTATTTCTTTTTTCTCCTTTTATTTTCCCTTGTCTATCAGAGAGAAGAATGGGGTCTTTTGAAGACCCAACCACCCCACCTAGGGACTCGTCACCCAACCCATCGCAGCCACCAAGCCCCCAAAAAAGGGACCAAAGGCAAAAAAAACACTCGTTCATCAGCCCAAAGGCAAGACTTGAGTTTAGGCCTGATTCCAATTCTCCTCCTGAGAGCCCTAATTCCTTTGCGTCATTAAGTCAAATGTCTGAAGATGAAGAGGTGCTCCTTAATAAAAAGGAGATGGAAAAAGCTTTGCAAAAACAAATAGAAAGTGATGCCAAACAAAGTTATATCCAAAAACTGAGTCTGCAAAGATCTTACTGCAAGAGATCCACCATAGTTTAGCAAATGCTAAGATCCTTGAAGCTCTAGATATGCATCTGGAGGGCCTCTCAGCTATCCAAGACAAATTGCAAAATCCGGAAGCTAAAGGATCCCTGCTTTCCAAAGACAATCAACTTCAAAAACTCCAGAAAGAGGTTAACGCTATTAATCAAAAACTTGATAAAATAGCCTTAGCCTCTTCTCAACCAGAGCAAAAACTAGTAAAGCCTTCATACGCAGCAGCAGTCCAAAAAGGAATAAAACCACAAGTAGTTATCCCAACCAAGAAACAAGATCAGCCAAAACGGGTAGAACAGGCCGCCTACAAAGGCAGTAGACTTATTCTAGAGGTTTCTGCAGAATTTCTGCAAGACCTAGACTCCTTAAAGCTCCGAAACCAAATCAACCACCAGTTCCAGATAAAAGAAAAGGTAGACAAACCTATAGTAAGGACAGCAAGCACTTCCTTTACTAAAAGGACCCTTATCCTCACCACAATGGACGGTATTCAGGCGCCTTATTTAATAGAGAAGCTGGATGTCTGGAAACCACTTATCCCCTATACTAGGTGGATGTTTGATGAACCATGGGCAAAAATAGTTATTCACATGGTCCCCACCAGGCCTTTTGAAACCCAAGAAGGCATGCAGATGCTCAAGGAAGAGATTGAAATCTTTAACCCAGGTTTAAAACTAATGAGGCCTCCAACATGGCTGACCCCAGAACATGTTCGCGAGACCAAAAATCACTCCTCTATTGTAGTGGACGTGCAGAATGAAGCCATGGCATCCAAGGCAATTAAAAATCAACTCTGTGTTGCAGGAGCTTTATGTAGAGCTACTAAATATATAGAGAAAACTGCCCAATGCCAAAAATGCCAAGGATACAAGCATATTGCCAAATACTGCAAGAATAATCCAAAATGTGCTATTTGCGCAGAAAGGCATGAAACCCAATACCATGAATGTTCCACATGCGAAGTAAAAAGCCAGGAATGTCCCCACACACAGGTTAAATGCGCTAATTGCAGTCAAGCCCACAGAGCAGATAGCAAAAACTGCAAGGAATGGGAAAAAGTCAAACCAAAACCAAGGCCTAGGCCTACAGAAAGACCAATCCCAAACAGTAGCATGGAATTAGATTACTAATGAATCAGAAAAACACTGATTTAGGAATCTATTTCCTGCAAAATAATACTGGACGCAATCAGAATGCTATGTTATCTTGCCTAGAAATAGGCCTAGAGCTTAATATTGACTTTATTATTCTCCAGGAACCATGGATATCGCCTGATAATAGCTTTACTATATCCCACCCAGCATATACTCCTATCCTTCCTGAACAAACCAAGGTTAG